ATAGGTTATGGCATAATCCTAAAAAACATTTGACATCAAAGTTATATATACCATGATAAAATTTGAAGGTGCACCTTACCTCTACAGCTACGGATGCATCCGTATGCTAACGGCACCCTATTCTTAATTCAGGGCATTTCAAACTTAAAAGTACCCTCTACTATTTACCAGACTCATGCCTAACATCTACAACCAACTTTAAAGCATAACCTATGTCCATGGATAAATATAACACGTCAATGTTAGGTATCAGTGCCTATTTCACACTCCACTGAAGTATAGTACAATTTTGTGCCTATTTCATACTCCACTGAAGTATAGTACAATTTTTTCCCATGAGCAAGTATAACATCATTCAGTAAAGGACACGATTTGCATGTGCCCAAGCCCGTACATGTAGAAATGTGGGCTTGGCAATAAATATGTTTTTTTAAAAGAATTGTATACAATCAGATCATTTACCTTTTGTATAGGGAGGTCACAATTACTTACAACCATCCGATGTAAAATCTGATAGCTTACGTGTGCCACAAAGTTTGAGAATTTTTTATTTGAACTTTGAGCTTGGTCAATGAAAGAACTACAGCCACTTGATTTGAAATCCAATGGTCAAGATTAATTGTGACCACCTTGTGCAAAAGGTAAATGATCTCATTATATATATATTTTTAAATATAATTTGATCCTAAATTTTAACTAATATATAATTTTTAACATGGAGGTCATGAAATGGAAAAAAAAAAAAGAAGAAATAAAATTTGAAATCTATAAAACTAATTATATTAAAAAAATATTTAAACCGATAGTGATAATTGTTTTTAGATGGACTACCTATATGCATCCATTTTTAAAGATGGGTGCTTTATACACCGCATATTGTAGAGATGCGGTCCAGCCCGCATGAAACAATTATTCGTTAATGAAATTCAAAAGGCGTGTGCCTTTTGCTCGCTAATCCGGAATCTCCCCCCAGATAGCGCACGTGGCAGAATAGGAAGTGCTTAAAAACCTTGAGAAAGAGAAGAAGAGAGAAAGAAGGGGAGGACGCCATTGAAGCACCCTTCTGATGAGCAGCAGTGAACTCTTCGCTCGATGCGAGGATTTAGGCGAGAGATTTTAGAGAGAGAGAGAGAGAGAGGGAGAATTTAGGAGAGAGAAGGAGAAGACGAGGGGCATGAATGAATGAATGATGATGGAGGCCTGCTGCTCCCTGCACACTAATTTTGTTGTTGGGAAAAATCGTCGTCCCTTCATCTTCTTCTCTGATAGAAATCCACCGCAGTTTCATGGCGGCAGCGGCCACAGTAGCACCTTGCTGCTGCTTCCCCAGAGACCACTCCTCAATAGAAGAGCTTCCCACTCTTGTTGTGAGTCCTGCAATTTTCACTCACCACTTTCTCTCTAGAAAGTTTCTCTCTCTAAAAAGTCTCTTCATCTCTCTAGAAATGTTGTCCTTAGAGCCACTCTCTTTTTTCACTCTCTAGAAACTATTTCTCTCTTTTCAGGAAATTATCTCTCTTAAGCTTGCTGTCTATAAAATTGGTATTATTATTATTTATTTTGTGTTCTTTCAGCATGAAAGCAGAGTGAATCATAATGGTATTCCCTTTTTTCCTTTTTTCTGTCTTTTATTTTCCCCACATTTTATCAGAAGCTGCTCAAGATACTGAAATTCGAAATATCCTATGCGAAATCTCCATTTCCTTCTTCGCTGTTTGTTTGGTTTTGCTTTCTTTTCCATTATGTTCTTTCCTTGCTCTCGGTTTCACATTTTCTCATTACCTGGACTACTTTTACAAACCTTAATGACACTGCTCTAATGTTGCAAAACCCCAGTATTTATATGTTTGACATATACAAATTTTCACTGGTTTGAAGTAATTGTTGTGTATGAATGATAATTATTGTCGTTTGCATATCATTGTAGTGGGTCACACAGACATACTGAGACTGCGTGCTGCTGGAGGAGCATTGAGAGTTCGAGCATTGAACACGAACATTGGAGCAGGTAGCTACGAAGGAGACAAAGGAAATGGCATCCAAAAGACTAATCTTGATGGTTCTCTCTCTGGTGATTTATCAGAATCGTATGTCCACAATACTGGGCTTCATAGAAAATGTGAACTATGTATAGCCAATTTTGAGCATCTGAATATATATTAATTATTTGACTGCATGAGCATGCCTGCTTTATGAGGTTTATTTGTCTTGCCATGCTCATGGTTTATATTTTGAATTGCTGTTGTTGTTTGACTTATTGATACAATATGGGAATGTTAATCAACGGTTTTTTATGTGTTTTTGGAGGTTTTGTATATTTATCATAGGCAATGCTTGGGAGCTTTTGGGTGCTGATAATCTGGATGCATTGTTTCTTCTTATTTATGGCGTATTTTCATTTATATTAAGCTAGTCAACTAGACATTCTAACAACTTCCTCTGGCTATTGCATCTCCTTTTTCTTGATGGAAAACACCGTCCTATTCTATTGATAGAAGATTGTGCCACGCTTCCGAACAGTGGGATCAAATTAGTCTGGCAAATCCTGACCATTGTATTTCTAACTTCTACTATACCTTTCTGTTAACCTTTATGCCAAGTTTTTATGCTTACGTCATAACAGGACACAGATCAATCAAGTTGACTGTGAGTTCAAAAGAAGTCTACTGCTAAATTGTTTCTTACACATGTATTCATGGCCTTACAACCTACAATCCTGTTGAATGGTATCTGCTGGCCTTGTTTGCTAACAGTTAATCCGAAGTTACTTTACTTCTGTCGGTAGGGATTTGCAGACATGGGGTGGAGTCCTTTTATTGTGAGAGGCCTTTAAGGGGGTTGCTCTTCGATCACGACTCTCTGACCCCAGCAATATCTTTGCTGATAGTATAAACAAATATCTTGCTTATTTTAAATTGTAGTTGGTCCATCCTTATTTAATGTTCAGGTTGTTTCAAACATCTATCTTCTCAAAAATCTTTAGACTGGATAGAAATTTGAATGATTTTTGGGCCATTTTTCGTACAGAGTTGCTCCAAGAGTATCAGTAACTGTTTTTTTCTGTATATTTACTTTGTTATCTTGATCGAAAATGGTTTCTTTTCTCTTTTTGCATTATCTACAACTCTGTGGAAGCAAAACCAAAGTAGAAAGGATTGACAGCTTCTTCATGTCAGAAGTCCCTTACCCTAGTTTTCTTAGTAACATCTAGATTTTTAAAACTCCCAGGAACCAAAGCCTCCTTTAGTTACATCGAAGTTCTCTAAAGTTTAAACTCTGCCATGAGGTTTTCTTCCCTTGAATTATGTATCACCGTCATTGACAAAAGCAAATCAAAAGTTTTATGGTGAACCTCGACCAATACTATTGACAAGGGTATTCTTATCTTACACTTTTAAGGAACTAACCCAGGTCACTGTTTTAGAAGTATTTGGATGGTTCTGCTGACAATTTAGTACTGTGCTTTCATTTTAGGCTATAATGGTTATCATTTCGTTTTAGTGTGAAATTCATGTTACTAGTGCTGTTTAAGGTCACTTCCTAGAGCTCTCATGGACTACCTTAACTTGCAGCAGGAAGCCTCAAGGAAAACTGCCATTTTCTCTTTCTCTGGTTGGTGTGCTGGCTCTGTCTACTCTAGCTGTAGTGGTTGTCTCTTTTATCAAGGGAGGCCCTTCTTCAGTGTTGGCTGCCATTTCAAAATCGGGTGTCCCTGCTGCATTCTCATTAATATTTGTTTCTGAAATTGGAGACAAAGTGAGTGATTGATCTCTTGGATATTCTTCTTTTTTTTTTTAATGCTATCATATTTATGCATTCAATATCCCAATTGATAGAAAGATGATGAATTGAGGATTTCATTTCCCTTTACAGTTCACATATTTGTATATCTGGAGAATCAATTTCTACTTTCTGCTTTTTAAATAGAATCAAGCTCATCTCACATTTGGTCTTCCAAGAATATCCACTATCTAGAAACATGAAATGGGACCTAACTTGGCCCGCACAAATGCAACAGCCATCATCTCAATGAGCACTGTGGGGCATCTTATTTAGATACTGCTATTCAAGTACAAGGACGAGTCAACTCCCTTGGGGCATACAAAATTAAAGTGTGTATACTCAATACATGAAGCTCCAACATTTTGCTTGTTCCTTGATTGAGCAGGAATTTATGCTCCTGTGTAGCCAATGGTTCTAAAAGAGAGGAAGAGGTATAGGTAGCACCAATGTTGTCCTTCAAACTCCTGTTGCTCATAGGAGCAAATTGCCTTAGAGCTCTTCTAATGTAAAATTGAGCAAATACAAATAAGAGTGAGACCTATACTGATGAGTAGTAGAGGGCTACAACAAATCCCAAACATGTAATGTAGGTCTTTTGAGGAATGAATGCCTGGAAACACTGTTGTTGTTTGGCCATGGATGTACTCATCCTAGAACGTAACAACCAATTGTATATGATTTTGAATGATACATTTAATGACTTTTCAAAGAGATTTACGTAGTTTTCTGAAATCATTTGGAAATGATTTTTTGAGAAATCTTTGAACTAAATTGATAACGTGCAAAGTATGACTAGCAAGGACTATCATCTATTGGAGCAGCTGATTCCTCCTAATGCACTCGTTTATTTGAAGTATACAAGTCCCAAATGAGCTTCCAAGAAGAACAAAAAGGACAAGCACCGATTGAGATATGCATTTAGTAGATTTCATCTTATTTCAATTGAAATTTTGCTTCAAATTTAATTTCTTTTATTTTCTGGTTAATTGAGGGACATTCTTGGTATTTTACTTTAAGTTGGGGTATTTTATTTTAAGTTAGGACTATTTAGTCAATCGTATTTTAGTGAAGGGTATTATAGACTTTTGTGCTCCATTTAAGATATAAAAAGAGGTTCCTAGAGGTCTAGGGGCTATTCATATGATTTGTAATGAAAAAAAGAAAAAAACAGGAACCTTGTTTTAGGAGAAGAAAGCCTAGGTTTCTTGACATGGGTGCTTGTGTTTTGCCTGAAGTTGCTTAAACTTTCTATTTTCTTCACCAACAATCTCCATCAATTGGTATCAAAGCCAAGGATTCGTGGTCAGCAAGGGCATGCATCGTCGGTCAAGTCTAGGGTTTGGCTAAATTCAGGCCAGGTTGTGCTGATTTTGGCATAGGGTTTATTGATTTCAGCTTAGAACCTGATGATTTCAGCCTAGAGTTTTTTATTTTCTTCATAGGGTTTGTGATTTCAGCGAGCGAATAAAAGCAAGAAGGGGACATGGTAGGGGAGCTTGCATAAACCTATCCATGATGCCAGAGATGAAGAGATTGAAGATATAAGGAGGCAAGTTCAACAACTTGCACAACAACTCGCTCGCATCAGTTATGGGCAAGACGGTGATCTTTCCGCCCTAGAAGATATTGAGTACAATGTTTTTTGTTGTCGTGCTCTACATGAGGTGTCGAGTGAAGAGGAAAGTGATAGAAGGCGGGCATCACTCTAGGGTTTTCTTTGAAAGTAGACATTCCTGATTTTGACGCTAAGCCTGGAGATTATTGATTGGTCAAATATTTTTGACACTAAGCCTCAATCTAAAGAGTTTATTGATTGGTTAAATATTGTAGAGAGGGCTTTTATTACAAAAAAATTCCCCAAAAAAAAGGGTGAAAACTATTGCCATTAAATTGGAGAAAGGTTCCTTCGAATGGTGGGAATAGCTTAGGACTTGAAGGGAAGAAATGAGAAAGCCAAAAGTTAATCGTGGGAAAAAGATAAAAAGAAAATTAAACGAAATGTATCTGCCTGAAAATTGTTTACATCCCTTTATTAAAGGATGAATGACCTTCGTCAAGGAGATAATACTTGGATGAACACATGGATGGATTTCATTAGATTCTGGCCCAAAGTGTTGTGGTTGAAAGGGAGGAGCAGTCCATAGTCCGTTAGGTAGGAGGGCTGAAAACATCCATACAAGACGTGGTGGTGTTACAACGTTATTGGTGAAAGAAAAACTAATACGTGATCTTGCCGGGGGATATATTTTTTATTTTTTTTCTTTTCTTTCGGCAAAAGATCACTTACAATTAGTCTTATTACAATAACTTTTGCTTCAAAGAAAATAAAACTAACAAATCCAAGATCTTAAAGACATTGATGCCATTAAACCAATTTTCTTTAAACAAAGAATATATCCACAATTCTTATGCTTGGGAATATAAAGACAATATAATTAAATATGGCAAGAAGAGAGTGCTAGAGATTACCTCAACCGGACTTATTACACCCCACACCGAGTCACCACCATCCGATGGCATGGGATCAACGATCAACCTTCAATCTCAATTGGGAAAGCAAGTTAAGCCAAACCCTCTAATGGAACTGTGAACTTCTTTATCAATCTCAAACCCTAAGGTGAATCCCCTTAGCAACCTAGTTTGAGAGAAATACTTATTCTACCACAACCCTATAGTCAAAAAAAAAAAAACCAATGAGAGATGAGAGATCATGAGAGACACCATGAGAGAGATGATAACTCTCAATAGCCTAAACCTCTTAGGTTCTTTCATAGTGTGGGAGAGAGAGATCTCAAAGATGAGAGATTGGAGCGTGCCCCCTTTGGGCTTTCATGAGAGAGAGAGAAACTTTTCTTAAGAGAGAGAGTGAGATAGAAAGATGAGGTGTAAAAATTTTGGGTAGAGACAATCCATTTTTATAGGCTTTGAACAAGATTAGGGTTTCTTAGGGTTTTCCTTGGTTTGCCTCTTCTTATGAGATTGAATATGAACCATTGATCTTGGGTGACTTGTGAGATGAGAGATTTGGGCCCTCCATTCTATAGATGAGTCATCAACATTTTGGACGGTGCTAGAACCTTTATCCCCAATTCCTTAATCGTTTTTCCATCAATAGAAATTAAATAAAATAATTCCATTCATAATATAGTGCTTACCAAAATTATGCACAAGCCTTCTCATGCTTTCCAAAAATCCTTTGAAAGCTTCCTCAAGGCAAAATCTTTCCAAAACACTTCAAAGGTTTCTCTTTTAGCCAAAGCTTGAATTAACACAAGGAAAGTTTCATTAGGGTGGGGTGTGCCACTAGGACCCTAGGTGGTACTTCATTGGCTCCACCCACATGCAATGGTGGGCCTATTAACATATTGGGCCTTCCATACAATATGAAAATTATTAATATTAATTATATGGTTTTTAGAAATCCATGAAATCAAATTTGATTATTTAAATCAATCTAAAATCAATATCTTTGTTTTTATAAATCCAAATTTGATAAATAAAACATTCAGAGATCTAGAAAAATTCCAATAATAATTCTAAAAATCATATATCATTAAAACAAACATAATTAAATTCATTAGATGGGAAAATGATCCATATGGTCTAGGAATTAAATAAATAAACGCTGAGGCACTCCACCTTCAATTATGGACTGCGGTCCACACTTGCTTTATCAAACCAACCCAGTATTTCTCATGACCCACAATCCATGCAGGAGTTCATTAGTGGGTCACCAAAGTCTGGCCAATAAGCCAAAGGGTCGTAATTCCAGTTTGTGGATTTTAGGTTCTGCCCTAGAGACATACCAAGGTCACCTAGATGTAATGCGACCCTAACTCCTATGACGCATAGGGGTATCTTTTGCGCATGCATAAGCTTCAGCCTAAAAGGGGGTTCGTTTTCCCGAAACGGCTATCATTATGCATGCCGTGTGATGGCTCGTGGATGAGGCTTTGACCCCCGTCTCTGAAGGCCACCATCACACACAAGGGTCACATAGTCCCTCGGCTCACCCATTCGGGCATACTCTGACCTCGTCAAGGGATGACCTATTAGAACTCTTATCAGATAGTTTTCTATGCCCAGGTAACATAGGTTTTTCCTAATCGATTGGCCTAGCTTGTTAAGCTCAGTCCGGTATCAGCAAACATCGTTTGCTTAATATGGTCCACGAGGGACCACACTTCCCATTGAAGTCATTTTCCACTATATCATTTCATTTTACAAGCACTCATAAGGCCTTTAATGGCCACACCTACCCAACAATTGGATGTTGGATGAAGTGTATAACCTTGCCTGTAAGATGTATGCTGTAAGATGTATGCTGAATAGAAGTGACCCTCATCAAGGTGCAATGCAGCCCAGGGTGGTATGGACAACTTTAGTTGAAATTTTAGAGGAAAAGATGACAATACAGTGGCTGGTCAGGGTTCTCGAGCTGCTGGTTCGTACAAATAGCAAGGAAAGATGGGTGACGATGCTGGTTCTAATTGCCATCAACCAACCAATAGTGCAATTTAGTGCTTTAACTGGACGTGGGGAATCTTTGGTGATCCGTCACAGCATGCTCACACCTTGGTGGTAGAAGAACAGGATTGGTTGTACACAAACATCTTCCACACATGTACTGCATATGCAAATTTGTAATCTCATACTTGATTGAGGCAGTTGCGAAAATATTATTTCAAGAGATGGTAGATAACGTCATAATTAAAGACAGGAAGCCATCGAAAGCCATCCAAGATAGACTAGTTCAAGAAGGGCAATAGGTTAACAGTTTCTAAAAGCTGCTTGGTTTCTTTTTCAATTAGAAAACACTGTAAGGATGAAGTTTAGGGTGATGTAGTGCCTGTGGTTGTGTGCCGCCTGCTACTAAGTAGAGCGTGGCTGTATGGCTGGCGCACTATACATGATGGGTATCAAAATACCTACTCCTTTGTCAAGTATGGGGTGGAGGTGCTTTTAGGCACATCCAAGAAAGAAAGTACAACCAGGTCATATGAGGAGAGTAGGGGGATGTAAAGTGCCTATGGTTTGGGTGCCACCTGTTACTAAGTAGAGCGTGGCTGTATGGCAGGCGCACTATACATGATGGGTATAAAGATACCTACTCCTTTGTCAAGTATGGGGTGAAGGTGCTTGCGGGTCCATCGAAGAGAGAAAGTATAACCAAGTCGTATGAGGAGAGTACTAACCATCTTTCTTTAGTGGAGTTTATGGAGGGGTTGGAGGAGACCCGTATGTTATATGTAGTGATTCCCATGGAAGAGCAGTCTACTAGTTCGGTTCCACCACAATTAGAGCCATTAATAGGGGACTGTCATGATGTCATCCCGGATGAGGTTTTTGAGCGATTACCATCTATGCAGTACATCCAACATCACATAGACCTTGTCCTGGGTCTAGCTTACTGAACAAGGCACCACATAGGATGAGTCCAAAAGGACATGAAAAGTACAAACTCAGGTTACAGAGCTTTTACAGAAGGGGTTCATTCAAGAGAGCATGAGTCAATGCGGTGTCCCAGTTTTCTTGAGACCTAAGAAGGATGGGACTTGGCATATGTGTGTGGACAACATGGCCATTAATAAGATTATGAGCAAATATCGCTTCTCAATCCCACACGTAGTTGATATGCTGGATATGTTTTTTCCAAGATATATATGAGGAGTGGGTACCATTAGATCTGTATTCGGCCAAGGGATGAATGGAACCTTGCGGTTAAAAGGTGAGAGGGTCATTATGACTGGTCGATGATGCCATTTGGCCTTTCTAATGCTTCTAGTACCTTTATGATGGTGATGAATCATGTATTTAAGTCTTTTATTGGAAAGTTCGTAGTGGTGATGACGTACAAGTGTATAGAACTAGTGAAAAACATATGGAACACTTGCTACTAGTGTTCGATTTGTACGTGAACCTGAAGAAGTGTGACTTTAGGACGGACATCCTGATTTTTCTTGGTTATGCCGTTTCAGCTGGGGTTATCAAGGTTTGATCAGAAGAAGGTAATAGCGATTAGAGATTGGCCAACTCCCACTACAAGTCATGATGTTTGCAATTTCCATGGGCTGGCTGCTTTTTATATGAGATTCATTAGAGGCTCCAGTTTGATTCGTCTATATCAAAGATTGCCTAAAGAAGGGGCCAATTGTATGGACAGATGAGGATGAGAAAAGTTTCCAGCTAGTAAAGCAGAAAATGACCGAGGCTTTTGTGTTGGCTCTTCTCGACTTTAATAAGTCTTCGAGGTGGATTGTGATGCATCGCATGTCAGCATTGGTGCAGTGTTGAGCCAAAAAGGACATCCTATTGCCTTTTTAGTAAAAATCTGAATGAAGACCGACAAGGCTACCTCCTTATGGAGCTTTATGCTATCATTTAGGCTTTGAGGCATTGACGTCAATACTTGATTTAGAGGGAGTTTTTTAGTTCTTAGATCATGAAGCGCTAAAACACATTAATGGGCCATAAGTGCGGGCAGCATTGCTACACTTTGCGCATGACTAGTGCGCATTAAGTGGCTTGTATTGCGTACGGTGCGCAAGAACACAAGACTGCATACTACATTCACTTATGTAGTACTTCGTGCGTGCGTGTTTTGGGGAACGTGATACAAATCCTATGGTGCATAAGTGCGCAACGCTTGTCATAAGTGCGGGCAACATCGCTACACTTTGCGCATGTTTAGTGCGCATTGAGTGGCTTGTGTTGTGTATGGCAAACACAAGATCAATTAATAACATGCTAGGTGCGTAGCCTATTTGCAGGAGTTTACTTTTGTCATTTGGCATAAGGTAAGCAGTCAGAATAGAGTAGCAGATGCTCCGAGCAAAAGGTCGATTTTATTGACTACCATCATAATCACTATTTCAAGGTTCAAGTTCATGAAGGATCTTTATGCAGATGAGGTTGATTTCAAGGAGATATGTGCAGTGGTGGGGTTGGTGGGGATTTTCTTATTCAAAACAGATTTCTCTTCAAAGAAAATTGTCTAAGCATACCTCAAGTTCCCTTAGAGAGACTCTTATAGTAGAGCTTCATGGAGGAGGTCTTGTTGGACATTTTGGGCAATACAAGCATAGACCGGTGAAATCTAAATATAACTGGGCAAGGTTGAAGTGGGATGCTTGGTTTGTAAAGAGGTGTCATATATGTAAGCTGGCTAGGAGGCAATGACATAACACCAAGCTTTATTCTCCACTTTCCTAATACCCCTTGGGAGAATGTAGCATGCATACTACAAGAGATTAATATACAGGATATACCTTTACAAAAATTTTATGTAGATTGGTTAGTTTTCTTGTTCCCTACCTCAAAGGGTACTCACTTGCACAGTTGCCCTAATATGCAAAACATGACTCCGACAATTCAAATACGACTTTGATCAATCTCAAATTGCATGAGTATCATTGCAAGTTATCATCATTAGCTACCTTTTCCATGCTAAAATACCCTTTGATCTTGAAAAATGGCATCCAAAGTGAAGTGTGATGATTAAAAACGTTATGGTTTTCTACATAAATTTATTGTTGAACATATTATAGAATAGCATTATCGTGTCAGCGGTCTGTTACTTCAGGGATGTGTTTTCTACCAAATAAATGATATATCATCTTGCATTTGGATGAAATGGTGATGCTTACTTGATGCATTACACAAATAAAATAAACCCACATGTACATATGAATAAATGTGTGTACCACAATTACAATCTAGTTGCGTGTAAAAAGATCAGCTCAGGGGGCATGGAATTCTGCAAACTGGATGCTACTGAATTGTCATTTGGAACCTGGGAGCCTTAGCCAATGACCTGGGGTCATGACTCAAGGCTGTTCCCTGGCATTCTGAGAAGGGGAGAGAATAAGAAAGTATTAAAAAATTACATAATTGTTGTCATCCATGGCTCTGACCTAAACATTTGGTGGCTTAGTGGTTTGATTCCTACAATTAATGCATGTGAATGTTCTCTATTTGAGAAATTGAGGATCTAGGAATTGAGGGACATTGTGGAACTAAAGTAATAGGCCATTGATTTCTTCTGAAGTATGATGATATAGATCCCATATTCTTTTTGTTGTTATTAATCATAGCTTCAAATCTTAAAAAGTTTCCATGTTTGTTTGCAGACGTTCTTCATTGCTGCCTTGTTGGCCATGCAATATGGCAAAGGACCGGTATGGCACTAGCACTCTTGCTTTTTATTCTTTCAGTACCCCTCTGTCTGTCTACATTTTATGGTATCTATTTGTTATCATTTTATCAAAGTAAAATAGGATGATTGATAATTTTGCATCTTCATCATCATCATCATTAGAGCCTTATCGCAACTATAGATAATTTGATATGCTCTATATATTATACACAAACAAGAAACTTTTAATATGAGCCAATTAACTCATTTGCAGATATGTGCCCTCTCTCCATAATCCATTTTTTAGACGAATAACTTAATTTTTTGTTTAATCTCTAACATGGGGAGCATTATTATATAAAAATAAATAAATTTAAAAATGCCTTTATTTGAATAAAATTTTTTGACAATCAATACCACTTTTTCACATTCATCCTTAGGATGAATGTGTGCTGCGTCAGGGGATGCAAATGTAGAATTGTGTCCCTTGACGCACATAGTACATTTAATAGTTTATATTTCATGATTGTTCTACATGAGAATGGCTTGATTGTTTTCTTTCAAAATTATACATGCCAATTTTGTGCTTCAAAAATTTCCTGTAAGAGTCTTGTTGTTGCTTACCAGTTGTGGAACATGTTAAATTAGATGAGCAATAGTACGAGCTGTTGTAGCTAAGAAAACATATGGAACTCTAGTGGATGAAATAGAAGTGGTCATAGTTACAACCATGTGTGAGGATACATGTTCAGCTGGGCCGCTTTGTTGAAGAGTATGTGAACCTGAACATTGAAATGATCCCACTACATGATACTGGAAATTGAAATGAGACAGTCAAAGAAAATCAAATGAGACAGTTAAAGAAGGTCCTGAAACATCATAATGAACAATTTGAAAGAGCAGTGATGCTTTATGAAAAGAAGAAATAAATGTTTTAGTTTCTCTTTTATATTCAAGTTTGTAACTTTTATGAAGACATTGATTTCAATGTTTATTATGATTAAGTTGAATGCCTGTGGAGTGTCTTCAGAGAAGATGATGGGCATGGAATTTGGTTTGAGTGAGTCATTCCATGATTTGCAGCCTGCTGCCTTGAAATAGCTAGTTTAACATATGACTTCAACAAAATGTTAAGTTATTGGAGAGAATATTCAAGCTTAGAGGTAGTCTTACAATCATATTTGTACAAGACAACTAATTTTAGTGTGGGGAAGCTGTTGTAGTTTGCTTGAGTAAAATAATTTTTTGGTTGAATTGATGTGGAAGCTTAATTTAGGTTGATGGTAGTTGTGATTAATGGTTTAATTTGTAAACTCATTATATTGCATTACTTTATATTTGAATTTTATGTAGCTTGTTTTACCTGATATCAATTATACTTCTTATAATATAAGGTTAGCTTATTCCATGTATTGGGTTATAATGTATGCATTGTGGGATTGCAAGACAAGGAAAGGTCCATTAATACAGAATTTTGTTTTACTTGAAGATCAATCTCGATGTCAAATGTAATTCCTGATCTGTCGCCAGAAAACTCTGGTTGTCTCTAGAAAGACGTGCAAGTTTACTAACAAAGAGAGAAGAGAAGAAACAGCATGGCCTAGGAAAAAACATGCAGAAGAAAAGGAAAACTTGACAATATTATATTTAACATTTCCCTTTTCTCATTGATCACTTTTTTTCTATTAATTTCAATATCTTGTTATATCATTAAGATATTGAAAGTGTATGTGATTTTGATATATTTAGTGTGTTCATAACATGATATATTATTTTGCGAAGTTTCTGGTTTATTGCCTGGAAACCCTATCATTGACATGCAATTTTGTGATGGCATGTAACGAGTCTTAGAGCTCCTTACACATCAAAATTTAGAGTGAACTTTGCATGAATGATTTTTTTTTGTTTGTAACACAATTCACAATTCATCGTCATTTTGTCTCTGACCTTTGTTTCAATTGGCAGGTTCTACTGGGATCAATGGGTGCTCTTTCACTTATGACGATCCTTTCTGTTGTAATAGGGAGAATATTCCATTCTGTACCGGCGCAATTTCAAACAAGTATGTTTAGGCTGTCCATCACAGTGAGCTAGTACATTATGATATTTCTTGTGGTTGTACGTTATCTTGAGAATGTATAATTTGTTTTTTTTACTTGCAACTTAAATTTGAGTTTCGTTTTTACGAGAGTGCTAGTTAGATTGATTTCCTTGGAGTTAGATTGAGTCTTCAATTTTGCCAGAATGACTTCCCTTGAGTTAGTTTGAGTCTCTGATATGCTTGAATGGCTTCACTTGAGTTCGTTTAGATCTCCCACTGGATTCATTTAAGTGTTCTTAAAGTCATCCCTTGCGTCAACATTCTTCGGTAGACCTCAATTTTGCCACAATAGTTTCTAGATTGTTCAATGTCACCTTAGTTTTTCAAAATGCCCCAAATTTCTCAAACAATTCATGTATGCCCTTTTTCTATATTTCTTTCCATTTTCATCCAAAAGTACCCCTGTACCTCTATGTGTTTCCTTTATGAATCTAAAACATCTCTATCTATTTCTTCCTCTAGCATTCCCTCTATATGTAAATGGCAATCCATCTCTCTCTCTCTCTCTCTCTCTCCTCCCCCCTCCCCCCCGCCCACCCCTT